AGATGCCCAGTGCTTTGTGTCTTTGGAGAAACCGGAAGCTCGGCTCCTGCCAGCCACGGCCAGGAATATCCTGGTGGACAAGCCTTGAAGATGGTTTGTCCTTTCCCCTCCCCTCCCCTCCCCTTCTCCCTCCCCTTCTCCCTCCCAAAGCAATCCTTTTTTTTTTTAACTTGCAGAAGAAGGACTACCCCAGCCACAGTTTCTACGTGGTGGTGGTGGTCAAAACCGAAGACGAAGCTTGCGGAGGGGCCCTGCCTTATTACCCCTTCTCCAAAGGTACGGGAGCCCACCAGGAAGTGGGGGGGGGGTGGAGGTGGCGGCTGGCACTTGCTTGTCTGTGAGCCTTTTGTTCAGGAGGGGCTTCAGAACGAGGCCGAGCAGGAGTAGAGCCAAGAAGGCCACTTGGGGCTGCCACAGGGCACCCCTCGCTGAGCTCTCCTGCTAGAGCCATGCTCTGGGCTGTGGAGAAGGGAGGGGAAGGTCTGGGGGGGCGCGAGGGGAAGGAACCCCACACTGGTCCTCTTAGGTTTGACCCTGACCCTGCTCTGGAGTAGGAGACCTCCTTGCACAAGGAGACCTCCTTGTATCAAGAGCTCTTCCCTGGGGTGTAGAAACATTCAGGAAGTTGGTTGCATCACCCACAAATGGATCTGTGGGTCAGTTGGCTCGGAGGGAAGCCCTCGTGTGTAAACTCAGAGGACAGAAGGGGAGAGGGGGCTTTGCGGGCAGGCAGCCTCTGCATGCCGTGAGCATTGCAGGCCCGGGAGCAAATTCAAAGGTCATCTAGTCCTCCCCCCACCAGTGAAAGAAGGAGCCCCCCCTGACTCAAGCACAGTCAACCCCCCGGGGACAGCATGGCCGGTGCTGTGCCCGAGCCCCTGGGTTGCTCCAGGAGGAAAGGCTTTGAGGGCAGGCTGTGCAGGCTGGCCATTGACCAGCCCTGGCCTTTGTGACCTTCCAGATGAACCGGTGGACCAAGGCAACCGCCAGAAAGCCCTGGACGTGGTGGTTTCGCCGGCGGTCAGCAGTAAGTGTGCAGCAGGGGCTCAGGTGGGAGAGCAGCCCTCCTGGGAGGAACCCGCGCCCCCCCCCCCTGCAGCCCTGCAGCCTGCGCTGGTCCTGGATTGTCCCCAGTGGGCATTGCCTCCAAAGCCAGTGTGACATTTGGGCCCTGGTGATGCTGAGCTCTTTCTTGCTGGGCTGGTGCGGGGAGCTGCAGCCAGCTTCTTCTTCGGGTGTGCGGAGCCTAGCTGGAGCAGGCCCCAGGGAGATAGAGCTGCGATTCATGAACTGCTGCTTCTGCCAGATAGGCTTCGGGATCTTTAAGGGCCCCCAAGACGTTGGGTTGGTTTTGCTGTAACAGAGTGACATGGCTGCCCCACTGCCCACCCCCATGACATGCACGGCGCTATCTAGCAGTGGCACACGGTCGCTCCGGGAGGTTGGCGCGGGGGCTGTGTTTAATCCTCGCCCTGCCCTGTAGCTCCCGTTGGCTAGCAGATCCCTGCTAATATCCCATATTGCAAGAAGAAGGGGGGAAAGCCTTGGGGGGGAGCAGGTTGCCTGGAGGGGCGAGGTGAGCCTCTGTGGGCAACCTGCCTGCACCTTTGTACTTGGGCCAAAAGACACTTGCCCCCTTCCCCGGTGGAGGGGGGCCCAGTTAGTCCTGCGGCCCCCTTACTCATTCCCCTCCTGGGCCCCAGCGCCATTGGGGGCCCTGCCGCAGCACCCTTGCAAAGCTCCTCTTTCCCTCCTCCGTCTCCTTCCAGCGCAGGCCTACGTCAATGGGATGCTCTTCTGCCTGGGCGTCTTCCTCTCCTTCTACGTGCTGATGGTGCTCATTGCCTGCTGGGAGAACTGGCGGTGAGTCTCGGGCAGGGCAGGGGCTGGGGTGGCGCTTGCCTCACCATGTAGATCATGGTTTCTTTCTTCCAACTTGTTTTGAGGGGGAGGTTACACGGCTGCCACCCCCACCCACCCCATCTGGCAAGGCCCTGGTGCCCAGGATTGTCCTTGTGGAGGGGGGTGTTCCTTGGTGAAAGTCCCCTGGAATGCCTTGATCTGGGTCAGGACAAGGGGGGGGTCCCCTCGTGGTTAGCACCTGTGACGGAGGCTGAAGGGTCCCCTTTGCGGGAAAGCAAAACTGGCCAGAAGTCCCCAGGGCTTGTCTTTGATCCTCCTCCTCGTCTTCATCCTCGTCCTCCTCCTCCTTTCTGGCCGGAGGGCTTTCTTCGCCTGGCCCCCTTAGAGTAAAAGGTCTGGCCATTGCAAGAGCCACTGTGAGCAGCCTCTACGTTTGGGGGCTTTCCGGGGGGGGCACTTTCCTGGTGGGGAGGCCTCCTGAGTCTGTGGCGTCCTTGACAGGCAACAGAAGAAGAAGGAGAGGCTGGGACTCCTGGCAGCCATGGGCACACCCAGTGCCGAAACAGGTATGTGACTGGTGGGGGGGGGGGCTTGGAAGGGGGGACTTTGCAGGGCTTCTCATGGGTGTGTGGGTGTGGGGGAGGGGCGTGTACCTCTTTGGAGGGCATGAGTTTGCCCATTCCAGAACTCTGCAGAGTCTGCCCCAGTAAGCCCCACCACCACCCCCACCACAGCTCAACCCCTGGCCTGATTTAGCTCAGGTGGGCGTGGAGGTGTGCTTCTCGTCTGATGTGCCCCACTTGTTTCTTGGGAGGAGGGGGCCTGCCTTCTGTCTCCCTCTGGTGCCTGCTGGCTGGCCGGAGGGGGCCGAAGTCTTTCAGGCATCCTCCAGGGCCCCTGGGTGGGCAGGCGCCCGGTGCGTGGCGCAGGTGGCAGCCACTGTAGTGGGGCGCCCCCTGGCGGCTGAGTTGGGGGCCTGTGGTGATCACTTGGCCTCTCCTTTTTGTCTCCTCTGCTTCTCTTCCTTCCTCCTCTTCTCGGGCACCCCTGCCTTCAGCCTCTCTCTTGGGTAAGCCAGCCCCAGACCTCGTTCCTCTGTCCTTGGCTTCTTCCCTACCTAAGGACTCTTTCTCTGCCTCTTTTCTCTGCCCTCTCTGGGCACAGACGCGGTCCTTGGCTGGTGTGCTAGTGGGGGAAACAGGTGGCCTGGGGCAGGGAGCGGGTGGGTGGCCAGCCAGCCCTGCTTCCCTGCCGGCTACTCTGTCCCTCCTCTGGGTCATTGGCACTCGGTTGCCTTCTGCTGCCACCCAGCCAGCCCCCTTGCCTGGGTCACTGTCTGCTGACGGTTGTGTGGTGGTTTGTTTCAGGGCACCCCCACATCACCCCAGACTCTTTCCTGGGACACCCATCGTACAATGGCTACAGTTATGGCTCCTTTGGTGAGTCCCGGGACCAGGAGTGGCCTCCGCCAGAGCCTCCCGGCCACGCCATGCCTGCTGGGTAGAGAGAGAGACATCCCTGCATGTTGGGGTGCTGAGGGGGGCTCCCTGTCCCCTGCCAGCCTGGCTGTGTTGAGGAGGGGGCAGATCTGGGGGGGGGCAGTTCACTGCTGGTTGGTTCCTGAAACGCTGGCAGTGGAGGGAGGAGGTCCTGCTGCGGGCAGGGCGCGCTCCTCCTTCCTTGCCTTCCCGGGCATCCTCAAGGCGTGCCCACCTTCCTCTTGGCTTTTGCAGACAACGGTTCCACAGCCAGCACTGAAAACGTCACCGAGGCTCTCCTCTCCACGGAGGCATCGTCGTACAGCTACACCGGTGAGAGGCGCCCCCTGGGGGCGGAGGGCCCAGATTCCTTCTCTTCAGGCGGTGGGGGGGGGCATACACGCTGGCAAGGTCTGCCCAGGGGTTGTGCCGGGTTTGGGGAGATCTGTCAACCTTCAGGCCTGGTGGGTTCCTGGTTGGCACGGCTGTAGCACCTTTCCTTAACCCTTTCCTTTCCTTTCAAGGGCAGGATCCGTGTCAGCACCGCCAGAGGCACTGGGCCGTTACTATGGGTAGATGCTGGCAGACGGGCAGGAGGGGAGGAGATGGGGAGGGCGGGAAGAGAGGGCTAATCGCTCAGTCCAGCCTCCCCTTTGTGGCGCCGGGCCCTCTTTGGCCTTGGGGGGCCCAGGAAGGGGGCGGCTTTCTCCGGGCCTCTGTATATTCCATGCTGCGCCAAGAGGACCTGCGGGTCTCATTGTGACTCCTGCTTTGAAGGCCTCTCCTGCCCCGGTTGCTGGTTGCCAGCGCCGGCGTAACTGGGAGACGCTTCCATAGACGGGAAGCCAAAGAGGAGGTTCCCCTCCAGGAGATGGGCAGTGTTCTGTTGCTCTAGGACTGCAGCCTTTCTCCGCCATCAAGCACCCACACACACACACACGCACACACACACACACACACACACCCCTCCACCCCATCCTGGGGCGGTCTTGAGGTCGGCTCCTGCTTTTGTCTCCGCTGGTGCACGGAGCCTGCAGAGGCTTGGCAGGAAAGCCCTTCCGGCAGGAGAGCAGAAATGGGATGCCAGGTGGCTCCGTCACCGCTTTCTGAGGGGTGCACACATGAGATGCTATGGGGCAGGGCAGGGATTGTGTTGTCCCCCTCTTTGTGTCCCCCCCCATCTTTGCACACACACTCTGTCTCACACACATGCACACAAAGCCTTGACCCAAAGTTTGTGCCCCTTGGGAAGCCTCAGGGAGGTTTGCCCCCTCAGAAAGCTTGACGAAGGAGGGGATAATCGGCATGTTGATGCTCCCCAGGTGCTGGGCAATTGGAGGGAGGGGGTGGGGGGGCAATCACTGCTTAAGGAAACGGAAGGGAGGCTGCAGGGAGGGGGCCTTCTGCCCAGGGGAGGATGGGGTCCGTTCCCAAAAGGGTTGTTTTGCACCAGTCTTGGGGGGGGGAAGGGGCTCCCATCTCAGCCAAGCCTTCAGGACCACAGAAGGCTCAGAGGTCAGCTTCATCGGTAATTCGATGGCAGGGGGTCTGAGCTGACCTTGGGCCTTTGCCCCTGGGAGGGGGGGGTCTGCCATGAGCTTCCCAAAGGAAGTGGCCTCAACCACCCCTTTCCAGGGTCCTGGCCTAGCGATGACCCCTTCCCCCCCCTCCCCACAGACCGCTCCCTGGAGAACATGGCGGGGCGCCCACGGCTGGACTCCCTCAGCTCCGTGGAGGAGGATGATTACGACACCCTGGCCGACATTGACTCGGACAAGAACGTCATCCGCACCAAGGTGCCCGGAAGGAGGGAGGGAGGGAGAGCCAGGGCTAGGTGGGAATGGCAGGGGTGGGTCTGGCCTGGCTCCCCCGCGCTGCCACCTGCGGGTCCCCTGGATGGGGATCTGTGTTGGGTCGGCAGCGTATAAGACCAGGCACACAGGTGGGAGCAAGCCCTGGCATCATCCCTGGGTCTATTGGCAAGGAGAGGGAGCGGATGATGCCCGTCTTGGGCAAAGGGCAGTCAGAGGCCAGCTGGCCGTGCAGGACTTCCTTGGGGGGGGGAGAGACCACGAGGTGAGAGGTGGAGGGGAATGGAGAGGAAAGGCGTTTGGGGACTGGGGCCAGGGGGTGGAGAGAGAGAGAGAGAGAGCCCGCGGGGTGTGGCTTCTCTCGCTCACTCTAGCCCTCTGCGGGTCCTTCTGGCTATGGAGGTCTCCTTTAGCAGCTTCCTCCGAGGGATTTCTTGCTTTTGGGGTGGGGAGGGGGTCAGATGGCTTGGGGTAGGGGGCACCAGGGCTCCCTGGGGCTCGTCACCCTTGCCTCCAAGTGATCTTCTCTGGGGGTGGGAGTGAGTTGCCTTTTAATGAGAGCCCAAGTTCACACCGGCTCCTTGCATCTCCCAATAGAAATACCTGTACGTGGCGGATCTGGCCCGCAAAGACAAGCGAGTGCTGCGAAAGAAGTACCAGATCTACTTCTGGTGAGCAAGGCTAGGGAGTGAAGAGGGTCAGGGGCCCCCGGCCGCTCAGCCCTCCCCATAGCCCTGGCCTGGGGCTGGCTCTTTCTCCTCTCCACCTGTGTCCCTGGCCCGTGGTTTCTAGTCAGGGGCCTTGGGGGGGGCAGTGAGGGGGAGGGACGGACATAACGGATCTGCCACATGGGTCAGAAAAAGGTGGGGATGTCTCCCCAAGAGGAAGAGGGGGGTCCCATCCCTGGCTTCTCTCCCTGTTCTCTGTCCCTTCCAGGAATATTGCAACCATCGCCGTCTTCTACGCCCTGCCGGTCATCCAGCTGGTCATCACCTATCAGACGGTGAGGCTCTGCGGAGGCTGCCCGGAGGCCCTCAGGGAAGGGAGGGGGCCATGGGGGGGCCTGGGGAGGGCCCTCCAGCCAGGGCAGAGGGGCAGAAGCTTCTCCCATTGAATCTCCCTCTTTCCCTCCCTTTCTGGCGGGGCAGGTGGTCAACGTGACCGGGAACCAGGACATTTGCTATTATAACTTCCTCTGCGCCCACCCGCTCGGCAACCTCAGGTATTGGGGGGGGGGACTGGCCCAGGAGCTGGGGGGGGCAGAGGAGAGGAGAGGACAGGATCTGCCTTCTAGCTGGGGAGGGGAGGAGAACGGAGGCCCCCTCGGGCAGCTGACCATGAGGCTGATCTCCCTGCCCTGCCTTCTCCTCGGCAGCGCCTTCAACAACATCCTGAGCAACCTGGGCTACATCCTGCTGGGGCTGCTTTTCCTGCTCCTCATCCTGCAGAGGGAGATCAGCTACAACCGGGCCCTGATGCACCATAACCGACAGGCCATGGTGAGTAACAGCGGGGGGGGGGGGNGGACGTGACCCTCTCCTCCCTACAAGCCCTTGGACCAGGCAAGACCCCGTCCTCCTCGGTAGGCCCCCATCGTTTCCTTTGGGGCCACTCATTGGGGTGGGGAGTGGATGCCAAGCAGAGTGCAGCTGTCCTAGGGCCAGGTTCTGGGGAAGGGGGCCGGTGGGTAGGCAGGCAAGCAGGCAAGACTTGCCCAGCGGGCAGCCTGCCTGGTGGGGAGCCTCCTCCTCCTCCTCCTCGGCTCTTGCCTAGCAGGCAGGCAAGACTTGCCTAGCGGGCAGCCTGCCTGGCGGGGAGCCTCCTCCTCCTCCTCCTCCTCCTCGGCTCTTGCCTTTTGGGAGACATGTCCTGCCCCGTTCCCTGGGCCTGGGGGCCCTTGTGTGTGTCTGTGGAAATGGGGCGCCCCAAATGGGAGCCCAGGGGGACGGGCCTTCTCTCCCTCTGGCTTCTTCTCAGAGCCGTCTGCCTTTCCCCCCCCCTTCTTCCCTCCCGATAACCCCACTCCTAGGAATGCGGCATCCCGAAGCATTTCGGCCTCTTCTACGCCATGGGCACGGCCCTGATGATGGAGGGGCTGCTCAGCGCCTGCTACCACGTCTGCCCCAACTATACCAACTTCCAGTTTGGTGAGTGTCCCCTGAGAAGTAGAATGGGAATTTGGGGGGGTGGGGGTGGAGGTGGATGCTGTGGGAATCTGCAGCCCACTGATCAGGTGCCACAGCCCAGGCCCCGAAGGGAGGCTTGAGAGGAGGAGGGGAATCCTGCAGAGGAGATCGCTCCAGCTGCCCTCGGGGGGCCCTGCACCCTCAGGCCTGGTTGGGGGGGGGCTTGGCATTGGCGCCTGAGAAGAAGAAAGAAAGGCCACCCGTGGAGGGTCCGGCCACCCTCTGCCAGCCCAAGGCCCGCCTTCCTGCCTGGACCTCCCTCCGACGGGCGCTTTCTGCCCCACAGACACCTCCTTCATGTACATGATTGCCGGCCTGTGCATGCTGAAGCTCTACCAGAAGCGCCACCCGGACATCAACGCCAGCGCCTACAGCGCCTACGCCTGCCTGGCCATCGTCATCTTCTTCTCGGTCGTGGGCGTGGTGAGTGGCCCCTCCCTCGCCAGGCAACCCAGCCAAGGCCCCCTCCCAGGATGGCGGAAGGTGATGGGGGAGCCGGACCAGTTCAAAGCCCTTTTCCTGTTACTTCGGGGCTCCTCCCATGCCAGGGCTTCTTTCTATGGCTCTAAATTCCAAAGTCGCATTTCCTTTCCAAAAAAGAGAACGGGCGCAACAGGACCCCCCCCCCCAAGAGAGCGGCCGCCGTGGCGTAGCTTAAGGTGGAGCACTGGCAGAAGAGACCCCCTCCTGCCTTCATGTTGAAGCCTCCCCCCCCCCCCCCCCCCTCCTCATGTTGAAGCCCCCCCCCCCCCACCCCGCCCTGTCCTTTGATTTCCTCTTAGAATCCAGGGCTAGGGTTAGGAAAGGGGGACTTCCCTCAGGGGAGTTGGGTGCCCCCCCCACCCCACTGTGCGTTCTTTCTGCTGCGCACCAGCAAACTCCCCTCTCCTCCCCTCGGCCCCATAGGTCTTCGGCAAAGGCAATATGGCCTTCTGGATCGTCTTCTCGGTCATCCACCTCCTTTGCACTCTGCTGCTCAGCACTCAGCTCTACTACATGGGCCGCTGGAGACTGGGTGAGCCCTCCGTCTCCTGGCCCTGGCAGTGCCCCCACTCCACCCCGTGTGGCTGCCTCCCGGCCCCAGCCCAAAGGCCTACCAGGGGGAGGGGAGGGGGGCAGGCAAGGACTGTTGGCTTGTGAGCCCTCCTGCAGGACCCTTTATATCAAGGAAGGGCACGGTCTGGGGCAGGAGTGGCCTCTCGCAGGCCTGCTGGGCAGTGTGTCCTTCTCCGGCCCTGCTGAGGTCTCCGGGTAGGACTGGCAAAAGCCCAAGAGGGCTGAAAGAGACCCTCACCCCTGTACATGCACCTTGGGCTTGGATCTCTGATTGAGTCATGCACATAGACTCAGTGCCACTCTTTTGGGAAGGCTTCCTCTTTACCTACCGGAGGTCCTAGGTTCCATCCCATGCAGGACCTTCAGGTGGGGCTGCTGTGAAAGATGACCCCTTGAAACCCCAGAGCGCAGGGGCTGTCAGACACCCTTGGCCGTTTGGGGCTCGGTGGACCCACGGGGTTGAGTCAGCACCAAGGAGCTTCCTGCGTTGCTCCATGCGGCCTCAGGGGGGGGTCTGTCTCTCTGCAGACTCTGGGATCCTGCGCAGGATCTTGCACGTGCTCTACACAGACTGCATCCGCCAGTGCAGTGGACCCATGTATGTGGTGAGTAAGTGGGGGAAGGTGACCTGCTTCTGGAAGGGCTGTGGGTTGGAGGAGGGAGGCTTCCTGGGAGGGCCAGACCCCCATCCAGAACGGGCAGGGGCTGCGCGGTTCTCCTCTTCTGGGCCACACCGTCTCCTCCCACTTTTCTCCGCAGGATCGGATGGTGCTGCTGATCATGGGCAACCTGATCAACTGGTCCCTGTGAGTATGAATTGGGGGAGAAGGGTTTCCGCACGGGGCACCCTGAGCTCAGCTGAGGCTACAGATGGCGGGGGAGCAGGGGGGCAGGATAGGACCTTTCTGGGGGTGACATCAACCCCGAGGGGTTTAGGGACCCCATTCAATGCACCTTTAGGGCTGCTTTCTGTGCCTTTGGGCATGAGCTGCCTTGATGCTGGACAGCAGAGCAAGAAAACGATAAATGACACCCGTCTATCACCAGCATGGTCACCGTCCATGATCACGGGTGGCCCGTGCCAGTCCCGACGCCTCCTCCTGCCCACCTGACGTGGCCTTTCCTCCCCCCCTCCCCCCCCCACAGTGCTGCTTACGGCCTCATCATGCGGCCCAACGACTTCGCCTCCTACTTGCTGGCCATCGGCATCTGCAACCTCCTCCTCTACTTCGCCTTCTACATCATCATGAAGGTGCCGCTGCTTGACCTGGGGAGGAGGGAGAGCCCTTCCTGTGGGCCGGGGAGGGGGCGCCCCCTATTATTTTAACAGGATACCTGTGCCTCTGTGCTTCTCTCAGGCATCCTGAGTATCCCCCAAAGAGGGAGGGGCCCTGGCCACACACAAAGGAGGAGGGATGAGAGGGTGGCTTTCCTTCCTTCTTTCTTTCCTTCTCTCTTTTCCTGTTTTTCTTGCTTCCGCCTCTCTTTTTCCTTCCTCCCTCCCTCCTACCTACCTACCTACCTACCTACCTACCTACCTACCTACCTACCTACCTACCTACCTACCTACCTACCTACCTACCTACCTACCTACCTACCTACCTACCTACCTACCTACCTACCTACCTACCTACCTACCTACCTACCTACCTACCTACCTACCTACCTACCTACCTACCTACCTACCTACCTACCTACCTACCTACCTACCTACCTACCTACCTACCTACCTACTTGGCTTCCATCTAATTTTGCGCCTGCCCTCGCCCTACAGCTCCGGAGCGGTGAACGTCTCACGCTGACTGCCCTGCTCTGCATCGTCTGCACTTCCATCGTGTGGGGTTCTGCCCTCTACTTCTTCTTCCAGGGCCTGAGCACCTGGCAGGTGAGCTATTCCAGCCCAGCCAAACTGTGGGAAACCAGGCAGAGACCATGACCAGACATCTTCTTTGGCTTGCAAGACGTTGCCCCGCTTAAATAGAGTGAGCACACGGTTGCCTCGTCTCGGGCTGCGGCTGCCGGACTCCTGCTTGGGAGTCGAGGCCTCAGATTTTGGACCTATAATGTCAGGGCATGGGATCCCGTCAACTTGGCGCCCCTAGACTTTGGGGTTTATTCTCGTGGTTTCAGGACGTGCTGCCGAGACTTGCTCAGAAGCACCCTTGTCATTGTCCTGCGTACTTTTCAGCAGCAGCAGCAGCAACAGTTCACACATTGGCCTTCATGCTCGTTATAAGCGTTTCTGCCTTGTCTGCCTCTTGAAGGCATCATGTTTCAGTGGTTGCCAAAGGCTCTGTCCCCGACTCGGAGGATGTCCTCTGGGATCTCAGGGAATCGGGCGGCGGTGGTGGCTGCTCGTGCTGCTAAAGCTCACATGGCAGCCCTGAGGCTGTGGGGGACGCCTGGCCCCAGAACGCCCTGCCTGGCCGGGGTCGGTCCCTCTGCGCCCCTTCCCACCCCCTCGGAAGCCTGTGTCCTCCAAGCCCCTTGACTCACCCAGGCTGCCTGGTCCCTGCAGAAAACGCCGGCCGAGTCCCGGGAGCACAACCGGGAGTGCATCCTGCTGGACTTCTTTGATGACCACGACGTCTGGCACTTCCTCTCCTCCATCGCCATGTTTGGTTCCTTCCTGGTAGGTGATTCCCGCCTGGCCTGGGTGTCCTGGTAGGGACGGGGACGGGCAGTGGTGCCTGCTGCCCGCTGGACCTTTTTTGTGCAGAGGGAGCCTGGCTCTCCGTGTGTGGGGGTGGGCTGCCCTCTCCCTTCTGGCCTCTGCAAAGGCACATTGGCATGCAGGGGGAGCATGCCAACAGGCGAGGGGCCAGCCATGTCTTCTGCGGCACCTCCAAGACGTGCAAATCTTGCTCTGCAGAAAGCGTGGTGCTCCGTGGCCAGGGGTGCCCATACACTTGAGACCACAGGTTGGCCTCCAGGAAGGCTTGTGCCCCATAAAGCCCATCAGTCCGTGAGGCGCCCCAAGTCTGTTGGTTTTGCTGCCACCCACTAAGGCGATGGCTGTGCTCCTCTGCCCCCCCCCCCGGCCAGAAATGTGTGCTACCCGTTACCTGCCTGGTGCTTTGGGGTTGGGTACAGGGTGCTTTCCCCTCTGGGAACTCCTCCACCCCCGAAAGGGCTGCTTTGGCCATCCTGCCTCGGAGGCAGAGGAGAGACGGAGCAACGAGGCTCTGGAGGTCCTGGCAGAGACCAGGGGACTCCTGGACTGGAGAGAAGAGCTCGTTCATTAACGACCCCATTGGAGTGTTCTCCCATAAAAATCCCTAAGGCAATGCACGACACAAAGGAACCTACTAAAATGTTAATACTGTACCAAAGGAACAAAAAGAATTGAAAGCCACAAAGTCGTAAAAAGCAGTAACAGGGGTTGGAACTGTGTTTGGAAAGCTGAAGAAAAGGCCAAAGATCCCTGCCTGCCAGGAGGAGAAGGATCAACTTGGAGCCTGGGGGATTTAGGGTGTTGCCGACAGTCTTAATCTGTGGGCCATGAAAGGGAGGAGAGTTGGTCTTCTAAAAGTCCAAGTCCTCAGCTTCACCTCAGGAGAGTTGCTGCAAGGGACAGAGCAGCAGACGAGAAGCTGGCCATGCTCCCCTCCTCTTGCATCAGCTGCCGTTTCCAAACAGTCTCCAAGGGCAGACTGGCAAGCACAGCGCAACAGTAGTCTAAAGGGGCCCTTGCTGGAGCATGGATCCCTGTAGTCAGTTCCTGGTGGGGGATTCCCTGCGAGCTGGGTTGGGGGTCACAGCTCCCAAATACACCCACCCACAGCCTTCTCCTTGCCCTGAAGCCCATGTTCTCTCTTTTGTTGTTGTTGTTTTTGTTTTGCCTGTTTTCCTGGGAGGAGGAGGAGGCGATGCGTCTTCTCCGTGTCCCAGGCTTTCTTTCTGGCCCCCATGGCTGCTTCTTTCCTCCCATCCCAGGTTTTGCTGACTCTGGATGACGACCTTGATGGCATTCACCGTGACAAGATCTACGTCTTCTAGACTGCAGGATCTTGCCAAGCCCTCCCTGGGGAGACGGCTGCCCACCTTGCCTGCCGGTCTCGAGGCCTTTCCGGGGACTTTAGGTTTTGGGTGGACCTTGGGGGGGGCACCCTGGCCACCACATCCGCCTGCTGCCGGGTCTTGCCATGCGCTGCCCTGCCATCTCAACAGGGCTGTGGCTGTGGGAGGATTTCTGTAGGAGGGCCAGGAGCGGGCAGGAGCCCCTCCGCTCTTTTGTGCCGATCCTGTGCGGGGCTGATGGGTACCTTCTGCTTGTGCGGTGCCTCTGAGGTGTCTGGTCCTCCTCCGGGCCTTGCCTGCTCCTCTTGGCATGGACACGCGTGGCCGTTTTTTTCCATTCAGTCTGCCCTTTGTTGGCTGTTGGCGCCCGACAGCCTGTGGATCAGACGTGGGGCTTGCCTGCATGTTCTCAGAGAGGCTGGCCTGAGAAATCCAGATGTGGAGGAGAGGAAGGGGCAAGGGACTTGCCTGCCCCTCCACCTCTTCATCTGGGGGCGGGCACGCTCTGTAGCATCCGAGGGCCCAGTGCCCATCCTGTCCTGGGAGCCCTCAGGCACCAGGCGGTTCCTTGGCAGCAGGGGCATGAATCCGGGGAAGGACCAGAGGCAGGCCCACCCAGGCTCTTCTTCATGGTGGGGAGGGGGCAGCAGCCCTGGGAGATCCTCACCACCACCCCTGCCCCCTCCCTGGCAGCCCCTGGCTGGGCTCCCTCGCGCACACACTGGTCGCCAGTCTGAAGCACACGGCCCTCGATGGTGAGGGCTGAGGCCAGGTGCCGGCCTCCCTCCTTTCTTTCCGTCCTCGTGTGGCCTTGGGGGAGGCCGGGGGGGGGCCACCGGAGCCTCCTTGCCTACCAGAGGAGGCCCTTCTCCTGGGCAGGCCAAGGGGCCCCTCTGGTCCCTCAGGGACAGACCCGTGTCCCTCTTGGTCTTTCAAGCACACACCCCTCAGTGGGGGCTGCACTGAGTGCCTAAC